GGGTAGGCTACAGCCATACCAAGAAATGGCTTAGCCCCACCTTAGCCCCACCATGAAAAATGATGTTAAAGTAAACAAAATAAAGTCCGCCAACTCGCGCGGAGTAAATTGCACAGACAGCAGTTAGTAAGATTGATTTCAGTGGCCACTTGCCTGGAAATACCGAAGACCAGAAACGGTTTTGAAAACGTTTGTCATGTAGTGATCAGGCTTGTTTGAGACGCGTTGCGGCTTGCCTCGAAAGTAGACGAGAATAGCCGATCGCAGCCGGGGGAGGTCTCAAAAAGCTCGCCTGAAGTCGGACAGCTCCGAGTCGGCTTCTTCTTCTTCTTCTTCTTCTCCTTCTTCTTCTCTCGGTTTTTTGGCTGATTGCAAACAACTTTAAGGTGCATACCGCCACCTCCGGAGTCGGCTTGACTCGGTTTGCATTTATAAAGAATGCACACATGTGTTTAATCGTTAATGTCAGATATGTACTAAGTAAATACATTTGTTCCTGCTCAAGATTAGATTCAACTTTATTGATATTGCACATATTACAGGTACTGAGACAACGAAATGCAGTTTAGATTCCAACCAGGAGTGCAACAAGCAGTAAAGTGAAAAGTAATGTACACAATCTACAGAATAAAATATAGAATGAATTGAATGATGAATACAGTGAGGGGTATGAATATACACAGCAGCCTGTGAGCATGAACAGTGTGTATGAATATGCTAAGATATATAAAGTATGGAAACGGTAAGCAGTGCAAGTATAGTATAACATATATAGATATTAATTTCATGATGATAAACATTGTGGAACAATTATGAAAAATCTTAATGGCGGGGGCGACGTAAAACTGACACAAAACAACAATAAACTTTTGCCGAGCCAATTGGAGAGTTTCATCACCAGCACGTGGTAAAAACCACCAATGAGCGCTCAGCTCGAGATACCAGTGAGTCGTTTCCCATCAAGCATTTCGCTTCCACAGCCCGTGAAGAGGAACTGCGCCGCCTCGCCGCGCCTCGCTCTCAAGGCTGCGGGCGTCTTTGTCCCGCGAGATTTCAACGTCTCATGTAGGCAAGCCTCCAGAGCAAGTCGGACAAAATGACTAACCATCATGCAACGCACTAGCAAGACGTTGATCGAAATTGCGCAGGTCTGCGCAGGTCTCGCTTGTCTCAAACAAGCCTATCGTCTTCCCAATAGAACATCTTTGATAATGTATTCTGGCCAATAAGAATCAAGATAACGGCGTGGTGTTGTTGCAGGAAGTCCTGACGGAGAATACTTTTGCTGCAGTACACCTCTATATACATCGATACAACGGTTTGATGATTGATAGGTGTGTGGGCTGTCTTTCATTTGGACACACAGCACAATGTTATAATAAACATACATACTGTATGTTAAATGGATATATCCGCCTTCTTTCATTTATCTTTCCATTCCCACAACAATATACATAAAGAAATGGCATATTTTGGACATAGTTCGAATGGTGATTAATCATGATTAATTAATTTTTTAGCTGTGATTAATCTGATTAAACATTTTAATCGTTTGACAGCCCTAATATAAATGAAGCAAATTAATACAAATGCAACAGTTAAGACTTACTGCAGTTTGTTTCCAGTTACAAGAAGGAATTAGAACATACTAAATCGATATTTAATTATTTAAAAACACTCATCTCTGTACATTTTGTGTGCATGTCAGAGTAAACGTTTGTTTTGTTAAGAATATGTTGTGCTTTTATTTTGATGGTAAATTTGAGCGCATTACTTCCGGTGTTTTTCCAGCTATTTCTGTCTGACTTGACAAAACTGGAGAACAATTGACTCGGCGCTGCTGTTAATATATCACCGTCCCATTCAAGTTGAGATAGCCGAATACACATAACCCACCGCGCAAAATTCACACACACCTGTTCCTATTATATACTTCAGCCTAAAGCACCTTCTGTGTTACAAAGTCACCTCTCACTAGCAGCAGACAAATATCCACAAAAAACAAATAGCTGTTTGCATTGCCATATATCACTTCAATACATTGAAAAGGAAATACAAATAATAATTTGCGAATCTGTCATTCTCGACAGTCTGCAATTTACGATCTATCCTCTAGTTTTTTTGTTTTGTTTTTTACATTTTAAACTTCAAAACATCAACATCACTCCATTTAAACTTCATCAGACGCTCTAACGAGTCACGACTTACCTTTTTCCAACGCAGCCATATTGATCGCAATTATTCTTATATTTCCTGAGGAATTTCTAGTGCTCCGCGAAACGACCCCAGAATGAAAAGAAAATCCAGTGAGAGGTGAGGACTATCAAGTGCTCCATTCAGTGCTTCTCGTGCTGATGGAAAATGTTGCCCTCTCTTCACCCCACGCACTTAACTCCACAAAGACCAAAAATGCACTGTTGCGCACATCTCCGCCTCCCTCTCTCCGGAAAGTCAAAAAATTCAATTTTTTTTAACTTTTGCGTCTTCTCACTGCAACACAGTGCTCATTGCAGGTCAGAAAGACTGGGAGTAAAGCCATCTGCGGCCACACCGGGGTTAATACTCCTGCAGGAGGCTCAGAAAAGCTCATCTCATTGGATTTAAAGAGAGAAAGTCTCCGTGCCCCTTTGGCTCAACAGCATCCAGAAACTCCGACTGAAGAGAGTCAAGAGGAGGCTCGCTGAATGTTTACCGCTCAGTGGAGAGCAGTCAGCTGACAGGTCGCTGGATCAAATGCTTTGGAAATTCAGAGGAGACAGAGACGAGAAGAAAAATGTCCTCCTGTCTTTTTTTTCCTCTGGTGGAAGCCTGCTGCATGTCAAACTCGCAGTGGGGATACAATAATGATGAAATAACCACCCTCATGTTCCCTTTTTTTATTATTATTGGGCAACATTTTCTTCCTTATAGCCTACACACTGACTAAAACTCTCACAAGATAAAGTAAAGTTAGAAAAAGTATGTAATATGTACTTGTCAGTTAACTAACGATTATTTTCATTGAAGGGAAATGTTTTATTTATTTCCTCAATAGTTTTTTTTTTAAATGTCTTGTACGATCAACAACTGTTTGAGTTACATTACATTACATGTCATTTGTTAGACGCTTTTATCCAAAGCAACTTACATACATTCAGGACTGTGGACAATCCCCAAAGGAGCAATTTGGGGTGAAGTGTCTTGCCCAGGGACACAACGACATGCTGACTGCACTGGGACTCGGACTTGCTACCCCCTGATTTGAAGTCCAGCACTCTATCCACTTAGCCACAGCCGCCCCATTGTTACCTAACTGTCATAGAAGTGTAAAGAAACCAGAAACTATTTGAATGTAAGGAGCTGGAATAATACAATTTAGATTGTTTAGAAAATAAATCAACCTGCTGATAATTGATTATCAAAATATTTACTTACTATACTTAATATTTAACAAATAATCATTTAATTTCTGCAGCTCTAGTTGACAGTTAAAGACCTTCAGCATACCAACTGTAGTAACGACCTCTAATGCCAGTCAGGGATTACAGAGATACTCTACTCTGAGAGACAGCAGAGCACAACAAGGAGTTAAGTTGCGCTAAAGATGGTACAATTAGTGTGGCTATGGTATCCATAGAAAGCATGAGAGGAAACACGCACACACGCACGCACGCGCACACGCACACGCACACGCACACGCACACACACACACACACACACACACACACACACACACACACACACACACACACCAGCCAGAGACCAGGAGTGTCCCTCACACCTACAACTTAATAGGATTGGCTTCCCCCATATAGGATTAAAACGAGATGTGGAAATGCTTTACTTCCTTTAACACACACACACACACACACACACACACACACACACACACACACACACACACACACACACACACACACACACACAACACACACACACACACACACACACACACACACACACACACACACACACACACACACACACACACACACACACCAAATATGAAGGAGTGAGTGCTGTCAGCTGAATAAAGCCAGTCTTATGCTGCTTTCTGTTTCTGAAAGCGAATATCATTGTACCGCCCTGCACGAGTACAATGTTGATGTATTATACGCACAGTATAAACAGTTTATGTGGAGGACATAAGGCCGTGGAATCCTATTTACAATTCCTGCATGGTAGTGATAACACACTGAATCATATTTATACCAATGAGGATCTTCATCATACAGCCACAGTGCAAACTCATCCTTTATCACCTGATATGTGTGTGTACGTGCAACTTGTTGAGTCTAGCTGTATCACCTGACATAGAAACTCCAACACCCCCCCCCCCCCCCCTGAATGTCCATTAGGCAACGGCCCATGCACAAGCTCATCAATTTTGCAGGCCTGTTGGCTCGCTGGTTCCAAAACAAAGGGCAGAAGACTGAAGTGGGCAGCATGAAACAATGTGACCTGGCAGCGCTACAGAAGCTATTCTGATGCTAACTATGTTATGGTGAATGTTGTGTTATTTATTGAGGTTTACAGTGAGACAGGATTATTTCATTTACTCAATGCAGGACTTTTTCATAATCGGTCACGTGAACTTTAAAGTGAGTCACATTGGCCTTGTTTTTATTTTTGAGTTGCAGTGAAAATAACATCAGCAGTGTCAGTTTGTGAATAGAAACAAACACTTTAACCTCCTTGAAAACCAAGACCAGATTCAAGGGTAAAACAGCTCAAAATAAATGTCTTTAAATAGATTTATTCCAAAAACCGGATGTGCATTCAGATTCTTCCCTTGATATTATCTATTCAGAAGTAGCAGCAAAGCTGAATAGTAGTTTCCGGCACATCGGCCCGGACTGTGAGATTTATAGTGAAACATGCATATGTTAATGAAAATGATATCACATAGCACAAAGTAAAAAATCAGTGCATTAATATAATTGTTTTTTATCAAGCTGCAGCAATAGTTTGCAAGTATGACATTTTAGTAATAAATGGTTGAAGATGAGGAGGAATTAGTAAGCTATTGCTTTTTTCACATACCTTCATCGTCGGACATGTCTAGGAACTCATTCATGGTCTCTGGGACGTTGATTTTGTGTTTTTCTGAAGCACTCTGTAAATGTCAAAAGATATATGAACAATTCAGTTTTGGCAAAATAGTAACAAACTAATCTTTGTTCTGGAATACATTGGTTTGCTAAAAGAAAAGTGAAAAATAATTGAAGTTATTACATTTGACAGATGTTACATTATTTTCTATGGATATTACGATAATATCTTTATTGTGAATACTTTACTCAATAATTGTGGTGTGTTCCAATTTGAGAATTTGAGTAAAAATGCGGCATTAGATTTTTGAAAGAATACGATAACATACCAAATGATTTGACTGCTGATGGTCTATACTAAACTAAGCTCTATACCAAACATATTGAAGATGCTATATCACCCCAAACTATAAACATTTTAGAGACAAATGTGACAAGATGAGCATCTACATTCCAACCAAAGTGTGACCTTCACGTGTGTTTCCTAATATGGACGTTAAAGTGAATCTGAGCCCTGGCCCCTCAGGCACAGTAAGATGTAATGGTGCTGTGTGTGTGAAGGCCACACATTAACACACACAACTGACCAGCAGTGGCCCCACAGGCTGCAGATGTAGGTTCAATAGAGACATAAAACAACACAGAGGAGCAAGGACACGACCTTGATCTCTAAGTAACTTCACTGTACACAGAGACAGTCACAGCTAATTCACTTTGCTGCTGATTGCGCAGGATCCTCAGTGACCTCTCTGTCCCCCCCCCCTCACTCCATCATCCTACTCCTTCCTCTTCTACTTCCTCCTTCTTCCCTCCCCCTCTATCTCCTGACATGTGTGTGGATCAAATCGCTGTTAGTGACCTGAGCTATTTGAGGAGAAACCTTAATCCCCAATCCAAGGCCTCTCTCTGTGTCTTAATCAGGACAACTTCACACATGTGACCCAGCGTGATTTACTGACTTACTTGCTGGCTGATTTGCAGGATACACACACACACTGACCCCACTTACAGTATGATGCTGTCTGACCAGCCAAGTCTTAATATGAGAGGGGAATTGGTCTCCATTTAGTTCAATACAGCGGCTCAATCAGGAACACTAGTGGTTGTAAATGTTTTGATTCAGAAGCGATAAATAATTTAAACTTTACTTAAGTATATTTAACGTTTTTAGCTAACAAACAACCACAATTGTATACTATTTATCTCACATTGTGAAGTTTTAAATCCTTACTTGCCTTGTTGTTGATTGATAACTTTTTAAGAGCTTTAAATTATTTTCCTATTCAGAAATAAATAAAAATGAATAGCTGCCTGCAAAGTAGGAAAGCAATTTAAAAATGTCAATATTTTAATATTTTGTAAATAAGTAAATGAGGCAAAGCATATGAGATTTAGTTGTGTAGGAAAACACGTGAAAAGTATGGTAATTTCAACTTTAAAAGGATGCTAAATTCCCACTTTTCAAATCACTTTATACTGTTTCATATTCTCTGGTACAGGAGAATCAAAAGTATGAAACAACTTTTTAATTCTAAACAGGTTAATTTCTTGGATTTATTGCATTAGCGTGGCTTTTGTATTCATATTAGGGTTGAAATGGTGATGTGATATATATTATTATCTATATATTGTGTGCATTTAATAATGAGTTAACAGAAAACTGGCCCTTCAACATGTTTTTTTTTGTCAGACAGTTTAGGTCTGACAAATAAACGGTTTATTTCTATTTCTGTTCTGTTCTGAGATGTTCATATTTTAGTATTGTTTATTTCTACTCATTTAATGTGTTATTATGTGCAAAGCCCTGTCTTGTTTTATGTTGCTGCAACAAAAACATTTCCCAAATTGGGATGAATAAAATACCTCTTATCTTATTTGATGAGATACCAATGAAAGGACTTAGTGTCTCACCATGGTGGTCAGGTTTTCGTCCGTCACAGGCCTCAGAGTGTCGACCACAGAGATGTATCCGAGGCGGCGGGCGATGGACAGGGCAGCGTTCCCATTCTGAGCAGAAACAGGAAGTTATTCACAGGAGGCCGACAGAAAACAGAGCGTTCGTTATTTCATCAGCTCTGTTGGAGCGTGTGTGTGTGCCAGTGTGTTTGTGCACTGACCAGAGTGAGCTCGTTGGCCGAGGCCCCGTGCTGAAGCAGCAGGTTGATGATGTGGGTGTGGCCCTGCTGAGCCGCTTGGTGTAGAGGAGTGTACCCGTTCTACAGACACACAAACATCCAGGGAGAGAAAATACTTATTAAATATGATGATTTAGAAGATCTTATATATAAAACTACAACATCGTGCATGAGAGTGTGTTTGGGTGGGTGAACAGGTGCTTTTTTACCTTCGTTTTGCCATTCACTCTGGCATGGTTCTGCAGCAGGATGTTTGCCATCTTTGCGTTGCCATAGTGACAGGCCACGTGCAGCGGTGTGTAACCCATCTGCAGGAGGAAGAGACAGAGACGTTAAAGGGCGACGAGAGGAAAAAAGGTGGAATATAACCTATGCGGACAGAATACCTCATCTTGTTACATCACAGTTTCTTAATGAACTAGCTTTTATGTTAAAGTGAATTCAATGCAAGGTACCAAGGGCTTTTCGTACACATTTGAATTATTATATGAGAGAACACTCATGGTTTATATGGGAACAATTTATTAACCTCTTTGTCTAAGCATGCTATCTCTGATTGTAAATACAACGTCCAAGCTGTGTCATATTTCATGTCCTTGCTGAATTATGAGTACAGTGCATTATGGTAATGGGGGAGATCAGTGAGTGAATAACCTCTTTGCTGTAAACAACTGTCCTGTCAGCACAAATACACACAGACCCACGTACACACAGTACATAACCTTGTGTTAGTCCAACCTTCAGCTGCTGCAGGTTTGTCTCAGTGAACGTGAGCAGCCTTTTATGGGGCCCATGTGTGTGAGTCTGTATGTAAGTGAATGAAACTAGCAGAGTGTGACTGAATAAAAGAGCATGTGCATGTGTGTGTGTGTGTGTGTGTGTGTGTGTGTGTGTGTGTGTGTGTGTGTGTGTGTGTGTGTGTGTGTGTGTGTGTGTGTGTGTGTGTGTTTGCTGCAGTGCAGGGAGCATCCATAAAGACATGAACACCTTCCACTCAGGTAGCAATCCTTTATTTATGTAGCACCTGAGATGATCGCAGACTAGTGTGTGTGTGTGTGTGTGTGTGTGTGTGTGTGTGTGTGTGTGTGTGTGTGTGTGTGTGTGTGTGTGTGTGAGTGTGTGTGCCTAAGAGTGTGTGTAAGTGGAATTTATAGCCGCTATTAAACTTTAAAAAAAAATTCCACTTAAAAAGGAAAACACAAAAGTGATGTGTGTATATTGACGGCTTTTCACCAAACCTTAGCGGCTAAAAGAGATATAAAGACCCCTATCAGTGTGTGTTTCATAAGTTTATATATAATATCTGAGAAAGCTTCACCTTTGTTTGTGGGTTGACATCAGCACCGTGGTTGAGAAGGACTTCTGCAACATTGACCTTGTCCTCCTGAGCTGCTAAGTGGAGCGGTGTGAGTCCGCTCTGTATAACAGGAAAGGACACACAGTCATGTACATTAGTTATGCTGGGAGCCCATAACAAGACTGAAACATGCTATCTCTCACAGGAAACAGGATGCTGGAAACATGCTTTAAAGACCCATCTGTTTTTCTACAGTATCTTTATCTCGTTCCCAAAATGGTGATGCTAGCATTAAAGCAGATCTGCATGTGTGTGTTTGAAGAGGCTAAAGGAATTCACTTGTTTTGTAACTGAGCATGCTGCAGCTACGTCACTGCTCTCACCTTATTGCAAGTGTTGACGTTGGCGTTCTTGGTCAGCAGCAGGGACACCAGGTCCACGCTGCCCTCCTGCGCTGCCAGGTGGATCGGGCTGATGCCCTGCCGCGTCACTGCGTTGGTGTCCGCGCCGTACTCGAGCAGTGTGGTCCCAATGTCCATTTGGTTCTTCTTGGCAGCGATATGGAGCGGCGTGTAGCCATTCTGAGGCAGGTTGAAAGAGACGCAGGATTTAAAGGGTTGGAATGAGCTCTTTTTCCTCTGTGTATTATTTTTTGTCTATTTCAGTGTACTGAGAAATGGCAAGCTCAGAGGTTCAGTAGAGGGCCTTTTACATAATGTATTCATTTGGGTTCTGAATCTAAATAGAATCAACTTCATACATTGAAGACTATAAAGTATAGAAATGTTATAGGATGGCCATTACATTTAATAACAAATATTACTTGACAGAAAAGTATTTGGCTGCACTGGAAAGCCAACTAATGAGCTTCGATAAAAAGGAGTGATAATAAAAACAAGGTCAGAAGTTTCAGTAGTGCATTACATACTGTAACTACAATCACAGACTGAATATAGAGGGATAAAGGTTTGGCATCACAACAAAAAAGGTGTGATGCATAGATTTCCATATCAACATACAGTATTATGCATTTAGTTATGACACAAAATCTAAGGTCATGTGATCTAACAATTAGTTCTTAGCCGTGGATTGATTAAAGTGTCAAAATAAGTTTGTCTGTCATCCAATAAATATTGTTGAACATGATCCACGTGAACTACTTAAAGGTCCCATGTCATGGCCATTTCCACTGATCGTAATTCCATTGTTGAGGTCTACTAGAATAGATTTATATTGTGCAATTTTCCAAAATCACTTTGGTTTCTCATACAGCATCTCTGTAAACTACGTGTATTCACTGAATTTCACTCTGCCTTTAACGGCTCGTTGTAGCTCCAATAGCTCCAGCCCCCACCCTCCCTGTGAGCACAGTGTGCTCTGATTGGTCGGGACGTTGTGAATCGCGCTGAGCTCCGTGGAGGTGTGGTTTCCTTGTTTAGCGACAGCGAAACACAGCCAAACTCACCCTGAGCACACACAAACTCACAGCCGAAGTAAAAACAATAAGTGTGGCTTGATATTGAGTAAGAAAAAGGTTGATAAACGCTGTGAGAATGGGTCTGCAGAGAGAATTTTGCCGCGATCCCAACTGTCTGTTATCAACCTGCAGCCAGGGAGGAGAGATCAGCAGAGCTGCCTGCACTGAGTGTGTGTGTGAGGAAGTCCGTGGATTGGTCAATTTGGACCAATCAGCGCGGGCTTAACGTAACTGCTCTGCGGACGTAACGTAACGACTCCACGGATTGGTCCATTTCGTTCCGGGTACGGTTGACATCATGCGTACCCGGAAGAATAAATGGACAGTGACGTATCTCCAACGAGGCGTTTTGGGGAGGTATTTTCTGTGTTAGAGTTTTACTCGCTACAGGGTGTACTTTGAGGGTGTGTGACTCTGCAGACCGTTTACATGCATAAAAACCTTCATAACACACAAGGGGACGGGTAATAACCAGAAAAGCATGACATGGGACCTTTAAGTCACAAAAGTGTTTATAGTAACACCTATGTCACAAATAAAAAATAAATAATTTCTGATCTTTCTGTCTTTAGTCCAGAGATATGAAGCATGAGAAATGTGTTCTGCGATGACTCTGATCATACTCTGTTTGCATGTGTGTGTGAAATTGCTTCTAGACAAGAAGACAGATTGATCCCTTTCCAAAAGTCCTTAAATTACACAAAGCACACACATTTAAGCACCCAGCCAAATTAAACACAATTTATAGAGGTAGAAACTAAGAGAAAGAGAAGCAAAGAGACATGACTAAGAGTGTGGGAAGGAGGAAGGAATAAATAGAGCTAGCTAGAGCATGTATAAATTAGCTTTACAAGCTTTTGTCTCCTCTATCGGGGCACATTAAATGTTAGTTGACCGAAAACAGGCATTTCCTGCCATATTTTGGTTAGTGGTTCTGCCATTCTGCTCATACTTGCTCTGTGGTTTTGACAGACTACAAAAGCAAAGCAGGAGACTAACCACAACTCCACCATGTGTGAAATGTCTGTCGGACATTTCAACAAGAGAAACAAAAGTGTTTCTTATGAGAGCTTTTTATTTGGAACACACAAAATGTACAGCTCTGGAAAGGACTTCACAGAGTGGGTGGTTTTATCGTAGTGGAGGACTGTTGAGTAACTTACAACATGTTTCACACATAAACAGTCCTTTCACATGTGCCCTCCAGTGCTGTTTTACAAGAAATAGGAAAATATAGCAAACCACCAGTGCCAATATGCTGACAGTATGAGCTACATTTTGGCTGGTCCAGTGATTTCAAAGACTTTGCTGAGCTCAAAGGAAAAGCTGCATATTCACTCAAAGAATGGACAAGAGGAACTGGGAGCAAAAGGGTCACTATTACATGTTCATACATTACATACACAAGGTTTTCAATGGTGTGAGACGGCACTGAGAGTAAAAGCCAGGTAGATTTGTGTGTGAATGCGTGTTTGTGTGGATACCTTGGCGGCAGCGTGTGGGGAAGCTCCCTGATCCAGCAGGAGCAGAGCCACTCTCTGATTATCGTAGTGAGCGGCTACATGCAGAGGAGTTAGCCCACTCTATAACACCCAAGCACACACACACACACAGACACACAAGCAAGCAGCAAAACACCAGGTTAGAGGATTGCCGAAAAGTAAAATAAAAGAACCAGATTGTTAATGCCATGGAGGGAGATCGACATCAAACTGATGGAAGAAAGTTAGAGCAGGAAACAGTTTAAAGCAACAACATAACGCTGAAACCTAGATCAAGAAAAAGCTAAGGGGGATAATGTCTTGGCTATAGCCACTTAAATCCATCTCGACAACGTCACATTTGATCCTATTGTTTTTGTAATGGTTTATTTAGCTTAAAGTGGACCTATCATGCTATATTTGAATAATATATTGTAGGACCATACCTATATAAAGGCACATTTATACTTTTTATTTTTCAAAATACCAAACAGATCATGCATTTTAGCCATTCCTCATTTCGCTCAATTTAACACTATCTTTGCATGGGCTGATTCTGTGAGAACAGCACCATCTACAGGCCTGGCATAGGTACTACAGCGTCTCCAGCGCTTTCAAACGGCAATGTCCGTGGCTGTCTCCTCCTGATTGGTGGAGTTGGCCCAATAGCCGTAGCGCCACTTCTGTGACGTCATAGAAGTGTTCAAATCTGGATCAGTCTGTATCAGATCCGTTGCAGCCCCTTTTTTAGAGATTTGGGTATGAAGGAAAATAGAGAGGGTTGTGTTTTCTGACACTTGGTGAGTTCCCTGGAACACCGGGGACACATATTCATGTATAAAAGACGTACAAAAGTGCATTTTGCATGATAGGTCGCCTTTAAGTAAGATCATTTCCACATATGGTAATGCAGTTGTACACCCTACAACATGTAAACAGACTTTGTCGTGTTGTTCATCTTTATCCTACATGTTATGTGAAACCATTTTTAATAGCACCAAAGTTGGAGATAGATGTTTTTGTGGGACAGTGATGAATAAATTATTCATGTTAGCATTAGTAGGAGGAGCAGCAAAATTAGAGTGCTAGCAGCAGCAGTAGCAGCATGTTACATCTTATATTAGGGTTGAGACCCTAAAATAAAATGGGTATGCAAGTGTGCGCACTCTGAGCTACACCCAAAGTATTCCAGTCACACAGTAATCAGCTTATATCACAGGAAGCTCCCTGAGCCACTATTATGTTCTTCATATTGAAAATAAAGTTGAATTTACTCTGAAAGAGTGAGCAGAATATATCCTGATAATCTCATGAGCTGTTACCTGGAGAGATGTGAAACTTCAATCATATTATGGGTAAAAAACTGAAGAAATCAAATAAAGTTTTGTTGTCTTTCTCATTTTTCAACAAAACAAAACTAACTCAAACCAAAGTAAAAGTCTGATTTAGTTGTTCTTTTGGACTGATAGTAGGACACCGCAGGGCAGTGTGGAAGCTTCATTATCATACCTGACTGCCATTATGCTAAACGCTCTCAGATGGTGGCACAGACAGACACACACACACACACACACACACACACACACACACACACACACACACACACACACACACACACACACACACACACACACACTCTCTCTCTCTCTCTCTCACACACGCACATAAAGACACAAACACACACACACACACACACACACACACNTCTTCTAGTCCATGCTCTGAAACACATGTCCTAGTTTGTCTGATTGGTTAGTATTCATATAGACTAAAGGGTAATGTGAGAGAACACAGGTTGCTTGATACAGGTTTGTTTTAAATGTTATAAAAATATTTATGATCAAATGTTTTATCACAAATTAGTAAATTCAAGGTTTCGATCTCACAACTCCTCTATTGCCTTATTTGTATGACATGTGCGTGTGTGAGAGAGAGAGAGAGAGAGTGTGTGTGTGTGTGTGTGTGTGTGTGTGTGTGTGTGTGTGTGTGTGTGTGTGTGTGTGTGTGTGTGTGTGTGAGAAAGAGAGAGAGGGAAAGAGAAAGCGTGCGCATTGGCACCATGGGGTTTACTGTTCATTAATCTGTTCCACTGACAGGGGTCACCTTGAAAGACAGCCCCCAGCAACATACTATCACACACGTGCACCGACTGATTCCATGAAGTCTACGCTAAATCTCTCTTTGACCTTGATCCGTGCAATTAGTCACATGTGAAACAAACGGCACCAAAAACTGACATCATTCCCCCACAGTGGGTCGCTTTGACAGAAAAAACCCTCCTGAGGTAAAAAAAAAGAAAAGAAGAAGAATTGTCTTACTGGGCCAACACGATTACTACCACTGACCTGAATATAGACACCAGCATTCATTTAATTCTCTATGTGGCAGAACCTAACATGCTTGAGTCTTGTAGGCTGGTTACAGGCAGGTTATTGGTCTTATAAATGCTCTTGTCACAACATTATATCTCAGCAAACTCTGACTGACAAACATCATAAGACTCCATCGAGGCTGTAAACTGGTGCCCACTAGTGGAGATACAAAGCACTGACATATTGATGATGGTCTTTTCAGTGATGCTTGTTTTTGAGACAACAAAAAGAGAGCTGCAGTAGTCCAACAGTTCATTACATTACAACATTTGTATTATCGTTTTGTGAAAAAAGAAAAAGAAATCCTTTCCTGAAGCACAACTCAAGTTCTTATAGTCCTCCAGCCTAAATAAATACATTTTAATTGACGTCATTATTTAAAAAAAGTACCTGCCTATGTCCTTAGAGAAAGGACAGTTAATCAAACAGTCAACCTCTTTCTCACTTTCCCCTAGCTCACAGATCAGTTAGTCTTGAGATTTCTGTGTGTATTGGAAATAAATAGACATCCAACTCCATGACTTTATGCGCTCAAAATAAGACCCTCCATCAGACTGACCTTAGTTGAGGAGCAGAGCATGGCTCCATGCTCCAGCAGCATGGCAGCAACATCTTGGTGTCCTTCGCGGGCGGCCAGGTGAAGGGGGGTGTAGCCTGAGGTGGTGGCAGCGTTGGCCGAGGCGCCGCACTGCAGCAGCTGCTGGACGATGTCGACCTTCCCCAGCCGACTGGAGATGTGCAGCGCTGTCTGGTCATCCTGCGCAGAAGGAGAGAGTGACTTTTGGACCCGTATTTGATCATTTTGTTGTTTTTTTACTTCCCGACTGGTGAATGGTGATTGATAATGTAGCTCCGTGTTCTAACCTTGGACTTGGTCTCAACCTTGGCTCCGTTTTTCAGCAGGTATCGGACTACGTCTGCCTGACCCGCCCGCGCTGCCATGTGGAGAGATGTCTCTCCTCGCTGGAAGGCACACAGAAACAGTTGTCAGTGATGCAATGACGTGGGATTTATACACAAAATACATATCATCTAGTCAAATTAACAATGAACAAAAATATAAATGCAACAGTAGATTTCCCGAAGTGGAAATAAAAGACATGAGTATGTCAAACACCTCCTGTAAGAGTGCCTAAGAAATACAAATAAATCTGCACGTGTTTGTGTGGCCTTTAAGTGTGACAAAGCCCAAGAGTAATGTAAGGTTACGTGTAATGATGACACAAAATGTGAGACAAAATAAGCATAGAAAAATGTGAACAATTCTGAAACGTTCTTTTCAAGCTTGAGTAAATTGGGAAGGAAAACAAAAGAAAGTATGCATTATTGATTAAATACATTTTTTGTGCATTTTATGTAATGGTGCATTACAAATGATCCACTCACTACGTTGGTGGTGTTGGGGGAGGCTCCGTGGTTCGTCAGTGCGTGGACAATGTTCTCATGGCCCATAAAGGCTGCCACATGGATGGGCGTCAGGCCAGACTGCAGAAAAACAAGTTCAAACAAAGACAAACATTATCAAAGCAGGTCACAAGGTATAAAATGACACACGTCAGCATAGTTAAAGGTCGATGCAGTTTTAAAGAAAACCTTTCTGGTGCCACGTGCAGATTCCATCAGAGAATAGTGCTCAGTACCTCAGTGACAGCCTGGATAGACGCCCCGTGTTTTAGCAACAGCTCCATGACTTTGACTCTGTTCTTCTTGCAGGCAATGTGAAGCGGAGTGAAGCCATTCTGCACATGGAAAGAAAAAAAACTCAGTGTAAGGCTATTACTGTAGTATCTGCAATGTAAGGGATGAACTTCTCCACAGTCACAAGACATCTGTTGCTGCTTTTATTTGGCTGATAAGGGGAAGCAAATGATCTGCTAGCTAATGAATGGGTGGTACAGAAAATGTCAGCTGCAAACCACAAGGGTGACGGAGAAACCTTTCAGTGCCTCCACTCCTCCATTCTGCCCTTTGTATGGATCTGTGTCAGTTTCAGATCGACACTTCAGGATTGATTATTCCCAGTTTCACAATTGTTCCTCTTTTCTGCTTCATGTATCAATCTGATGATACTTTGTACCCCTTTGTATATCAGTCCTTTTCAAACATTGGTGCAGCGAAAGGCTTTTGGCTGGCACATTTGCATTGCATTACCTTTATGATACAACAATGGTACCTCCAGAACACAAAACCACAATCTGCAATTATAAGGTAAAGTTCATCTGCACCTTTTCTCTATTCATTTGATTCTTGATTCTTATAAAAGGAGCCTTCATTTCGCCAAGCAAAACATTTTCCACTAAATGCTTATATTTTTGTTTATAATCCAGAAAAACCTTTTATTCACACCTAGTAGTCAAAGATAGAAGTTTTTTTTCTTTGTTTACTCACAACCTCTACAATACATTATATCTACTTAATGCTTTTGTCAAATAGGACGGTGTCACTTTTCACTTTTCTGATTCCACCACTTTTCCTTACCAGAGCCTTGGCGTTGGGGTTGGCCTTCTTGTCCACGATGAGCTTGGCCACCTTGTAGTGACCACAGTGGGCGGCGACGTGCAGCGCCGTCAGGTAGTCGTTGGTGACGTCGTCCACCGGCACGTCGTGCTGGAGCAGGAGCTGCACACAGTTCAGGTGGTCCCCCTGAGTGGCCATGTGGAGCGGGGACAGCCCGTTCTATGGTGGGGGGGAGAGAGAGCGAGACAAAGAGAGAGACAGACAGACAACACACCCAGACGGACACGTAGACAGACGAACAGACACACTGAGTAAGTTAGGGCCGGTCCATGCGCGGCACCGAAAGACTTTGAAGGAAGTTGTTACAGGAGCATTGTTATAACGAGGTCATTACAACAATGTCTAGTTTGTTACACTGGTCGTCCTGCGCGGTCAAACTGTTCAATCGCTACGCAGCGGCTGTTGTGGAGAGGTCGCACAGATGTTATGCAGACAATGCGACAACGCTACACCTACGACCTTCTGATGGGTTAACAGGTGTCAAATAGTGCTTAGGAAATGTTATAAACAATGTATAACCTGTTTTAAGTTTCAATCAGTGAAAGAAAAACATGTGTTTGTGACATTTGCTTCCTATTCTGAGCTAAACAGAGTCTCCTGAATGTATCGTCCCACTAGCTACCTTGGTCTTGGACAGGAAAGGCGCTCCTCGGTCCAGCAGGATTTCTACAATCTGCTCGTGTCCGCTCCTCGCCCCACAGTGAAGAGGTGTCAGACCGTCCTGAAAGTGAAGAAAGCCAGGAGTGAATAAATCACAAAACAAACCTATCCCTTCTTTTTCAACAAACATTTTAAAATGCATCTGGATAGCAGTTCTCGCATAACGAGCAAATAATAAACGTAAGACATATTCAATGTTTTATAAAATAGCCCTTTTGGTGGCTTGTTGTGTATCAAACATTTACTGATTTCCACAAAAAGGAATGTCATTAGGAAACATCATTTGACATACTGACGAATGGGCTCTGTTTTCGTGGAAGAAAGGTCTGCCTAATGAACTGCCTTTTTTTGTATCCAATGCAACCAGGGTAAAAATAAAGCTGCCCATCAGCAACCAACAGACCAGATTTTCATCCAGAAATGTCGAACAGTTTTCTGAGGAGAATTATGTCCACAGTCTCACCTTGGTCTTTGCATCAATTTTGGACCCTCTGTCCAGCAACAACTTGAGCATGTTGCTGTTGCCTCTCTTTGAAGCCACATGAAGCGGTATGATGTCATTCTAAACAAAAAGGAGAACATTGGTATTAAGATTTAGCAAATTAGCAGCAGTGCTTTATTGTTTAAACAAAAGCTAACATTATGCACGCCCATTTAAAAGTAAACAATTAAATGTAATTCATTCATTAGATATCACACGTTGCTTAATTTCTAGTTCTTAAACAAACCCTGCAATCTCCTCATTTTATTATCAATAGCTCCGTTGTATAATACCATTTATCTCCACTGTTGTAGCATTCCTCTTTTGACCTAACCGGTAATCAGTGTCAAAAAGCAGCACAAACACTAACACCCCTTCGACACACCAGCTAACAAATTACGGGCCACTGCTGAAACTGGTTAGTCTACTGAGGAAAGAAGACCATTTTAATGTCACCCAATATTCCACTACAATGTTGCTATCACAGGAAGTGAAAAGTAATACTACTCTACTGAATATAATCCAAACATTTGTTTAAAGTGAGACAGCAGCCTTGTAGAGTGTCGCACCTATTATGAACACAGAGAGGGATATCAGCTTGTGTAACAATTACACTGCTGGGTTTATTTAAAGGACAGTAGGGGATTTGTTTTCCCATGCCTACTTGAACTAAATGATTATGTTGCCTCTTTTAAGTTGGCGTTGTTTACAGTGTGTAGGTTTGAGAAAAAGCACACAGCGGGCTGCAGACTGCTGCAGAGCTTTGAGGACACCCGAATTAAAAAATATCACACATCCTTTTTAGCAAGCCATGTTTTATTCACTAAACGTTTTTGCCTTTATAAGGGTGCTGTCGGACAATTATATACAGTCAATTAATCAATCAAGCACCTTGTAGTTCAGCGTCATTATTAAGAATATAAAACAGCTTTAAAATCAATTCCATTTTAAAATACAAATTAGCCAAGTCTTTCTCATTAAACCAATGTCATTACACTCAAATGTCTTCATAAATATCCTGAACCATTTTCATAGTCTATCTGACGTTGATTTAACACATCCATCTTTAACACATTTTCTAATCTAGAATCGAAAATATAATCCAATGCACTGTCTACTTCTTCTAGTTTAAATTGCCCTGTTTGAAAATCCAGTATTCTTTATCTCATTATCTCCCACTGAAATAGACAGAGATGCCTTTATCAATTCCTTTAAGACACAATGAATGTGTTTCATGCAATGTGCTACAACTGGCCTATACATCTCAGTAGGCTGAATAATAAATGGAAACCTGAACTGATACCAGACCAGTGTTTCACAGCTGACTATGATTATTGTGTTCAGCATAAAAGAGCATTATACTATCAACACCTCCGCTCTTGTTTACCTTAAATGTTGGTCATTCCCCTCCCAAACAGCAGAGGGCAGAATAAACTCACCCTAGCCGTGAAGTCTACAGCAGCTCCTCTGTTCAGCAGGAGCGTGGCCACGTTAATGTTTCCGTAGTGAGCTGCGATGTGGAGGGGGGTGAAACCACTCTGGGGATTGGAAAAAACGCGTACAAGACACACATAGAAACAGACAAGCACACGCATTACATTAAAAACTATAAAACACATGAACAGTGGACACCTTGAGCTTTACATCAGCCTACACAGTCCTAAGGTCGACACACAGACGAGGACACACTGTTACACGGACACCTGACTTTTTCTCACAGTGGCAGAGAAAGTCCTTTTATCGAAGCATCAAACATGGGGCCAATAGTATGCTGACAACTAGAGGGGTTTCCACTATACTGAAAAACAACTCATTACACCCGGTAAAATAAAATTAAGCTTGAGTGTCAATCAATAACTCCAGTTTGACAGATGATATTTACCGGTAATCTGTCTCATCTCAATTACAACATCCTGATCCTTTTTTAGGTAAAAGGTGTCCTGCAAATGAACCTAATGTCCACTCATCCCAAATGAAAGTAATTTCCCAGCAAAACCCCTAGCTTAGCGACCAACAGCTGTCAAAGCAATACAAGGACACTGGAAACAATGTGTCCAATGAGTGAATGAGTCTCACATTAAGCTATCTAATCATCGGCATCCCAAATCCAAATAGGCCTAAGCAATAACCCGGAGAGCAGGTGCGAGGACATGTGTATCTCTGCTGATATCTGGTGTCCAAAAAAAAACATGAGAAACCCTAAAGCTTTGAATAATTTCAGAAGGTATTTTATACAAGCATAACCGAACATAAAGGTCCCCAAACATTAAAAGGAACCACACAAATTCCTGTTCCTTATAGGCAATCTGTGGACCAAAATCCATCTTCCATCGTTCAGAGTATTATGCAAATCTGTGTACCACGATGCAGGAGCCTCAGATCAACAAAGCCATTTTTGGATGAATCATAGCAGATAACTGGCCCGCCTGCCAAAGCCAGAAACAATGCCAACCAAAACAGGCGCACTCAGGAGGAGGCCGCCAGACTTTGGTGTGACGAAGAGGCCAGTGTTACCATAGAAGCAGTGTCGAGGTAGCTTGTTGCTTTGGTCCCATGCACAATGCTTTAAGGGTGTAGGATTAGAACAACTAAAATCAATACAGGATAGTAAAACTAATCAGACTAACTGTCCTGCTGCTCGGAGGCTGGGTTCTTTACAGCTTCATGGGGATTTGGTTGCCATGCAGGTAATGGACAAACCGCTGCTTTTCAATGAATGATAACCACTTTTCATGCTAACACCGGTTATCATGTTAATCAGTTTCATGGAAAGACTGCGTTAGGTCACATTAGGACGACATTTTGTCAACAGTCAAAATGAATTTTCCATGAAACCATTAGAAAACCTTGATAACCCCAAGCCTCCAGCCTCAGGATCTACGATATCAGTTTTAGTAAAACATGCTTTTACTCTGACTTTCTCTATGACTAGCAATATCAACTACATGAATGATAAATGTAGAGGAAGATGAGGAAACAGGAAGTCACAAAGGGCTGCAGAAACACGAGTGCATCCATTCAGGGAGCACTGAGGTGTTTGTTTGGTATTTCAGAGTTTTTATGAACTGCAATGGAGAAACTAGGTACAGAGTAGAGGAGTACCTCTGTTGTTCTATTCACCATCATCTACAGAGTGAGCCAAGAGAGGAGAGAGTGAGCAGTTAGTGAGCAAAAAACAGAAAAAGAAGTGGAGGAGCAGAGTGAGGGGAGAAGGAGCTCAGCACAAAATGAGTTATAGGTAAAGGTTAGTATGTGCTTCATGTTGGAGTGACTAAAATCCTCCTCCAGCGCGATCATACAGTACATTCACATATTCTGGTGATCTCCTTGTTAAATAATGTGATTAAATACACAAATGTATATGACCCAAATATGTGTATATGTTACTTAACTGTATATCATTTCAATTTTATATTTAATCTTTTTTTTTATTTTTTATTTTTTATTGAGTCAGGCACAATGAGTTTACATTTATACAGTCAATATTTTTATTTATTTTCCCCCCTTTCCCCCCCTCCCGGTCCCAGCTAGTAAATTAAATAATTAACTAAATAAAATAGATACATGTATAGGTCAAAGTAAAGTAATGTAGAAGATAATATTAAAAGAAAATGTATAGATAAGGGAATAAAGAATAGTAACAGTAATACTTGTACCCATATACTCACATATGTATACCCACATATACACATACACATACGTGTGTGTACATACCCACACACATGTACACATGCGCATAGTATATACACGTACCTACATGTATACAAAGACAGAACAAATAAATACAAAAAAATAAATAAGTATTTCTATTTAATTGTATCTTTAATTGTATTAATCTTTAATCTTGTGTGCATCTGGGCTGTCCTGTTTTTCAATCTTACCCTGTTGCTGTTTAAACAACTGCATTTCCCCACAGGGACTAATACAGATCCATCTTATCTTAAATGTGCTTCTGCTTCTTTCCCCTTTCTGCCAAAAGAACATTAAAAGCAAATTCAACCAAGAAAGAAGAGAAAAAAGCAGCAAGAAAGGAAAACTGATGTAAAAAACTAAAGGATCAAAAGTCAAAGAAACAATTAAACAACCAAGAGATTTAAAAAAAAACGTTACCAACTCTTAGAAAAATATCACTCGTCTCCGGCTTGAGCTTCAATATCAGGATACATGAATGGAAGTAGTCATCACATACAGAGCATGTTGTATGTTCCATTCTTGCAAGGATAATAAATACATGTATCCTGATATTGAAGCTCAAGCCGGTGACGAGTGATATTTGTCTAACACCAACTAAAGATCTGGTGTTGGATCAGCTCTCACCTTGGACTCGACGTCTGCGTTGTGGTCGTTCTGCAGGAGCAGGGCCGCGGCCTTGGTGTCATCCTTGCGGGCAGCGATGTGCAGGGCAGGGAGTCGTACCTTGCCCTTTGTATCGTTCTCCAGTAGCAGGGAGACCACCTGGTCATGGCCCTGCTGGAGGGCCACCGCCAGAGGAGTAAAGCCATCCTGCGTGTGAGGAGAAAGAGAGAGAAGAGTCACTATGGGCTGCAGCGGCGCAGGAACACATTACTGGTGACGGAGCTGATATGAGATGGTGTGACTGGATGGATGATGTGGGCAGGGTCATGGAGAGATGGGGCTCCAATATTACATTTAGCTGAATTATTATTGTGCTGCAAGCATTGAGTAAAGCGATGCAAGTCCTCTGAGACCATAAGACGTTTTTAAAAATGTATAATGGATATATGTAGGCTTTTCCCTGTGTCATATAAGACACATCTTTTACTGTATATGTTGTTCAAATGGTAAGTCTAGGAACAAGAAACAGATAATTTGGTTAATTGTGTCACTATAGGAAAAACTAATAGGACACACATGGGCAACATTAATATGCCCTTTCTTTTGTGTGTTATTTTTTCCAGAAACACATGAGAGATGACTTTATGATTGTAACTGGAGGTTCGTTTTTCAAATCTTTAGATTCAGTTTAAAAAAATGATTTTGGGTACTCTAGGGGCATATTTGAACTTAAAATAGAAACTAAGGAGTTCAACATTAACACAGTCTGACCTCCTTGGAGAGTTAAGGACAGTAAATCATCCCTTAATAGCCCATTAGCCCATGTTTCAAACAGTAGAGATTACTGTACAAATTCTGTATGTTCTCAGGCCTCCTACCCATATAGGCCCCTAATGTAAGTTACATAATGAGATGATGGGCTGAAAACTCTCACGTCTATCTCCTACTCACAATACTCTTCTGATGCATAATTCAGCTAAAAGCTCCCTGCCACAGCACTGCACACTTCAATGTGTGTGTGTGCAGATGTATGTGTGTATGTGCATGCAGATATCATGTTCATATAAATAGTGTGCACATCAGTGTGTGAGCAAGCCTATTCTATGTGTAAGTGAATGCTTGTCCTGAAGGGCGTTTGTATCTAACCATGTAGCCCATACATGTAAACCAGTGGACTGAAGACAGGCTATTCCATTATCTCCATCAGCTTTATTTCCTTATGTGCACGTGCTTTGTGTGTGTGTGTACGTGTGGAGACTGATAAGTATGGTATGTGTGTATGGGTTCCACAGGCTGAGCAACGTAAATCAGTGCAGTAACAGCGGCAGCAGCAAAACGTGGAGGAGAGGCAGCGACCGGAGCGGACCTCATCTGTGACCCACTCAAGGTCACTCTGCCTCCTCCACCATACACTACCAATCAATGGAGCTCTGCTAGTTCCTCATGAGGAGATGAGGAGGGAGGAGGGGAGGAGGAGAAGGGGCAGGCAGAAGAGGACAGTGTGAAGACAGAGAGGCAGACAGGGTGAGAATGTGAGACAGAAAGGACACAGAGACAGGACAGTGAAGGAGAAACGGGAGGAAATAGAGAGGAGGAGATGGAGGTGGTTAGTACAACAGATGTAAAGACCACACATGACCGAAGCAGAGAAAATCCATGGAGACATACTGTACCCGTAGGGAGGTGGACACAAGACTTACACATGTACAAACAATAACACACACACACACACACACACACACACTTGTACAGTACCTCAGTGGCCATACTCTGGCTGGCGCTGTTCTCCAGAAGCAAGCGAACCACCTCCAGGTGATTCTCCTGGGCGGCCATATACAGGGGAGTGAAGCCATTCTGCAGAACGCATGGACCAAAACACACGCACATTTACAAACTGGCTTATATTACACTTTGCTGATTTATACTACAAATGGATACAAGAAAATTGTTGGAAATTCAGATTTCCTCTTTTGAAAAAAAGATCTTATTGACAATTGTATCATTTTGTCAATAGACAAGGAAATGATTAACATATTTTGATAGTCAATTAAGTGTAAAAAGGACCAATTATGCTGTTAAAAATGCAGATCGTTTATGTTTTTCTGTTTTATATGATATCAAACTGAATATGCTTGGGTTTTGACTTTCAAAACAAGACATTTGGTAACATCATCACTTTGACTTTGAGAAAATGAAAAGGACATTTTCACAATTTTCTTACATTTTAAACACCAAACAAGTAATCTTTACAAAACATACATTAAACGAAAATGAAAATAATCTTATGTTGCAGCCCTAGTTGCTGTTACATCTCTATTGGCTGTTTCATGGTTTGATAAGACCAGAGAGAAAGGAGGTGCTTGAAATCTATCCTCTCACCTTGATCTGAGAGAGTTAACTGTAAAATGCAAGGACATCAGTTTCCTGAGAGGCCTAGTTGGCGTGATGCCAGATTGTTTCAGAGAGGATCTTTCCACTGAGTGATTCCCCTCAGCGTCAGTGACTCCATGATACAGTATCACTCAAACAAGTGTATGCATCGCAGCACTGTAGTTACAATCAGGTTGTTTCAGACCAACAGGACCTTGCTGTCACTTTGACATTGTGTGTGTGTGTGTGTGTGTGTGTGTGTGTGTGTGTGTGTGTGTGTGTGTGTTTGTGTGTGTGTGTGTTTGTGTGTGTGTGTCCTACCTGAGATTGTGAGTTGACATTGGCTCCATTTGTGACCAGCTCTTTGACGACTTCCGTTTGTCCGGCAAGCGAAGCTATGTGCAGAGCAGTGTTTCCTTTCTGGATAACAGGGAACAACCACAGGAATGTGTGTTAAGCTCTGTCGCACCTGTCCAATCATATTGCTAACGTGCGTCACTGTTTACCGCTATAGTCTGTATGTATTCATTTCAGTATCTAAGTGCCCCATGAATCCCCTCACGCCCCTGAGCAGACTTTTGTATAGCTGGCGTTCCAGCTCTGGCATCTCCCTGCCCTGCCAAAAATGTGTCACTTCCGATGCCCCCGCGTCCTGCACATAAATGAGCTCTCGCCAAGCCGCTGACATAAATATAACTACAGGAGGCATTTTATGAACAAGTACTGAACCTTGTTAAGGCAGGTTCAACCCCCGCATATACTGGGCTCTGTTATCAAGTGGTGTTGTTCAATTGTGATCACCTGTCACATGCACTGTAAACTGTAGCAAGGAAACCATATCTGTTCAGGCACAAGGTGGATTAAAAGACACTTAAAAGACTGTTAAACTGAAGCTAAAGAAAAGCGCTTGTACTTTACTGAGATTTAAGACTTTTCTCAAGTACAACTTATACTATGAGTTTATTATCTGCTGTTATAATCAATTGAAACAATCTAAACAGCTTTATTCTTCTGCAGTGTTTGAGTCAATAATCAAGAAAATCTTAAGGTTTAAAGTTCCTTTGATTGGAATAATCTACCTGTACAAGGCGATCTAAGTCATCTTTCCACCCCCTTTAAGTGTAAGCAAAGGTGATGTTATTGGTTAAATAGTAAAATCATAACGTTCTCCCAACAACTTGCCAGACCTGAGCACTCTATTCACTGTAGAAATCATAACCCAGAATGCACCATGATTTTCTGAACACACACAATGAAAAAGCTCCACAAATATATTGCAATCCAGTAAAACAACACACTCTTCAGCCCCAAAAGCTTTTAAAAAGAGTTTGAAAGAGATTCTCTCCGACAGTCTTAACATGGTACGCATCACGAGAGCAGCGTTTGTTATAAAGCTGCTAAAGGGATAATGAACTGACGACAATGCCACAACAAGAGCAGCACAGCAATAGAGGGGCATATATACAATTAAGTTTAGTATTAAAAACCCACATAGCCTAAATGTAACACACTGTGTTTCTCAATCTATGTACCCGTCCTAATTGTCTCCATCGGCTACATGAAACAGTGAATGGATAGGCGTAAAGGCGGAGGCACTGGATTCCTAAATCTTAAACTAATCTCTCAGCATCCTCAGGGTCACAATAGAGAGAGGCTTTAATTGGGGAGATTTAATCCCTGATCTTGAATATTTCATTGTGTTCTCTGTTTATGTCAGCACTAGGCATGTGGCCTGAGGCAGAGGGGCTGAACCAGACGACTAAATGGGAGTGAACGCCTCCTCATATCTGAATAATGTTTTCAACTCCTTTTAGCAGCGGAGTACAGACGCATCAAAGGAGGAGACCCTCCACTGAAGAAATATACTATCATTCAGATTTTACAGTACATACAATATTACACATTTGCTGACTTGTCTACTTTTTTCTGTATTCGATATATTTCAAATGAATGCATTCTACTGCTGAAGGCATTTTAGCTTAATTCAGACATTAACATTCAAGTAGCCGGCCCCTTAGGGATCATTAAATATTGATCCAATGATAAACCATAAAAACGAAGGCTACAAACTTAGTAGTTGTGCTTTAGCTGCATGCTGTTGGATCCCAGAGTGCAGCCATGTTCTGTGCTGGATACAAATACAGTCCTGCATAACATGAGCTAAAATGTGTTAGGTGAGGGGGGTTAGTTGGTCTTACCTTCGTGGCCGCATCCACAGCAGCTTCCAGCTTCAGCAGCTCAGCGACTACCTCAACGTGCCCCTCTTTGGAGGCTAGATGAAGAGCGTTCAAACCATTCTGAGAAAGAAACACATTTAGTGGAGTGTCTGTAGCTCGTGCACTATATAAACTGTGAGAAAATGTTTACTTGTGCTTAAAAGATGGGTTGAAAATCATAAAATATTCAATGTAGAGGATGATCCCGCCTGCTCAGTTGAGCCCTTGAGCCCCACATTTGAAAAGCAGCTGATGCAGCAGCATTTTTATGTGTGTAGAGGGGTCTATTAAACTAAAATGCATTTGTACAGCGACGTATCATACAGAGGCAGCAAGATTGTGCAAGTAAACAGACATTCCCACTTACATACAATCACATAACGATAGCTATACACACACTCACAAGCATAAAAGTGCAGAAAATAATAACTTAATATTCTTCTTTAAACCCGAGAAGTACACATAGGATTTTTGGTTTCTTAATAAGAGCATCTAAAGACATACCTGATTGCAGATGTTAATCTCAACACCTGTCTTGAGGTAGTCAAGGACCTTTTCAAGGTTCCCTGCCCGGGCAGCTCGTAGGTAACTTGCATTGCTGTCAGACTGGAGAAAAGAGAAAGAGAGAGGAGGTGAGTATGTCAGACATGCTTATCTGCATGAAACTGTAACAATCAGCAACGCGTGAGAATAAAGCCAATACAAACGCAGAAATATTACCAGATAGAACTCTGTCATAATTGCTCAGATATCCACAAAACATTGTAACAGGGGAAAGAACAAAGCCACAATCCACACACACAGTTGCTCCATTGTAAAATCGATAAAGCGACCATAAATCCATTGGTGTCTCAAAACAACACAACATCTCAAAAAGTAAATCCGTGAGAAAAAACCAGCAGAGCCACGGCACATTCACGTCATCCTCCGTCATGGACCAGATCCCGTTGGTCTGTTATTCCAGCTTTAGTAAATCCAAATGTCTCTGATTCCCAAAGGTAGGAAGTTCAGTCGCCGGGTGGTCGACGCAGCTGCCTCAGAGACTTCCTCTGAGTCCACCAGTAAAGCAGTGGTGAGAGTGTCGCCGTGTTACCAGCAGCAGAGCGCTCTCCATTCTGCTTGGATGTCCTTTACATCACTACAGAAATAGGGCTTTGCACACCAAAATAAAAAATGATGATGCAAGCGTGTTATTGCCTCTATAACAAATGTGGGGTGCATGTGCGTGTGCATGTGCGTGTGCGAGACGAGGTGAAAGCGTGCAGAGGGGGTTGAAAGAAGATGAGGGCAGACAAAGAGATGGAGAAAGCTAAAAAGAGAAGAAGAGAGGGAGGGAGGTTGTGTTTCTTTACGGGTGCATGTTAGCTTCGAGGACATTTGGTTTGACATGAAATGACACACAGCACACTCGGCACATTTTGTCATCCTTCTTCATACAGCCTTGCAAAGAGCTTTTTTTGTTCAACTCAGCACTTGAGCTGCAGAGAGCAGGCGGGAGAGAAGCTGTGATATGTTGTTGCTTCATAACCGAGGCTCAAAAACCCCAAATTTCCCTGAATGATCAAAAGCCCAGACCTGCTAAATTTAGCCTCGCGTCCAGAGACACTTACAGTAGGATGAAGTCGGCAGGGAAAAACGGTAAGAGCGGTTATCCAACATTGTACTCCCGCCTCCCCCTCGGCCAAAAATAACTCTGACAAACAGAGAGGGATTTGACCCAAAGCCAGAATGTGAGTGAACGAGACATCCAGCATCAGATAGCTCCACCGTGAGAGGAAAATGTGTGTGTCTACGGGTGCTCATGCACAAACTAAACTAATGGAAGATGAAACAGCTTTAACTGGAAACTGGTCATTTCCTGATTACAAGAAACCATCAAGCTAAAGTTCATATCAGCCACAGACCCCCCCAGAGAACATTAGAGAGCTCTGAACCACTAATGGTATCTTTGTTCTTGTGGCCTTGAGAAAAGTCATGATACAACACACGCTGTCACAGAGCCTGAACCATGAGGATTATTCGGCTTGTGGATGAGATTGTGTTGTTATTTTGGACGATAACATCAAGAACAGTGACTATCTTTTCTGTTTGTTGACATGTTGAATAAAAGAAACACAATCTAGTACAAACGTAATTGACAGCAAGCCAAACAATCTGATCATCATCTAAATATCACACACATATATTATATTGTAAATCAACAGAATGAACAGACCAGTTTCTTCATGACTTGTTATTCAACGACAGTCAGAATCAACCTTCATGTTGACCTGTGAAAACACTCTGGCTCCCGTCCAGTCTAAGCCCAGCAGCTCTCCGTCATCACACTGTCCTACCTCAACAGCATCACTGAAGTAAACGCTCTGCACTTATTCTAAGATGCTTTTGACTTTTCCCACTGAAGTCTTCAAAGTACGGCATACATCATAGTGACTTTTGTTTATAAGTGATGCTTTTCAGGAATCAAACAGCGTTTTTTTGGTGAGAAACCGGGCGAGCAACAAAAGAAAATATAAACTGAGCCAGATCAGGCGGTCATTCCCTTAAAATAAACTTCACACACTCTCTCTTTAAAAGTTTACATTAACTTCAAAGTTTACACCAGCTTTTCTTCTCCATCATCGTCTACTGTGTTTAACTTTGCCAGGACAGTAATAAGAGAAGTTAAGAAATGAAGTAAAACATCCCCTGCTTTCTGTTCAAATATACAGAATAAAGCCTATCTTCATATATTATATGCAACATTCTTTATCAAAGAACTTCATAGAATGAAGATGTTTTAAAAAGTCCATGTACACTTTCACATGGATATTCATTGTACCTTCTTTCTTCTTTGTTACAGCACTTTAAATGTTGATATTTATCTACTAAATGTTTTATCTTATTGTATGTATGTATGAACCAATAGTTCTTATTTATAAAAGTGCACCCTATGAATCAATTTTCATGAATGTCTCACTGTTTCCCCTATATACAAATAGCGGCGGCACAGCGGCGATAGGGGGCGCCAGCCAGGTACCCAAAAAAAGAAATTAAAATAATAATAAGTGGCGACCCTTTTTCGTTTTTGATTGTTTGTTATGTGGATTGGTAGTATTTGTGTTACTGTATGTTCAATAAAGGTGTATATTTGCTAAATCTTGAGACATTGCCACTGTATGTACTGGCAGGGCCGATTTTTGACATAGGCGCTGTAAGTGATGAAAGTGGGGGATGTTGGCTTATCAGGCGCCCGCAGCTCACAGCCAAAGTGCGAGCGTGGGAGCGAGAGAGCGTGGGAGCGAGAGAGCGATCGAGGGAGAGAGAGAGAGAGGGCGCACCGGTACCGGCGCTGTTGTTATTAGAATCTGGTGCTAGCTGCGCTAACGGATATAAGAAGTAGATGTTTCTACAACCAGGNTTGTGTGCTCAAAGTGCACCAGATTGAAGCATTTTACTTTAAAATGTTCAAAAAAAATCTTCCCGGGGGGGCATACCCCCATACCCCCTTAGAGGATGTGACGTCCAAAACCAATAAAAACATAGTTCATACAATACTGAATACATTTGAAGCCACTTTGACGTATACAGTATGACCTATGTCAATACGTTTCTGTTTTTGTAGTGTATTTGTCTTTTGTAGATATTTTTCATTTATTCTTTATATATAAAATCTCGCCTAGGGCAGCAAATTGTCTAGAACCGGCCCTGGTACCAGGCCTCAAGAGCCTTTCTTGTGCTGGCAGACACATAGAAACAAATTGGCGGGACGCACTTTGCACACGCACATACTAAAAAATTCCACACGCTCCGCGCTCACATTGTGCTGGGCCCACGTGCCTTAGCACCGCTGCTATGACTTCATCCTAGGGGAAACACTGATGTCTTCAACAAAAAGAACAAAAGCCAGTTGCACAACTTCAGAATATCAGCCTTAGTTCCAGCTTCATCATCAATTATTTAAGTCAAATTCTCTCCACATATAACAATATACATGCAGCATGTGTGCGTCTGCATGCCGGTAAAACATTTGCCCTGTTTATGACATAACCCTCCTGTGTGTGTGGTGCTGTGTGTAGCCTGCCTGTGTGTCCTGCGACTCTAAGGCTTTGTTGAGTGTCACCAGATGCTTTACCGCTCTTAAACCTCGGACATGGAAATACACAAGTGCGTCACACTGCTGTGAACAGGCAGCGTGCATGAAAAATACTTTAATACTTCATCAAATATCATGCAAGTTAAACATGATATGTTTAACTGTTGTTTTTAAATAATTTAATCCAAAAAGGAGAATTAACTTAAACATACAAGCACTGACTTTAGAAATAGGTGCAATACATCTGTAACTACATGTACTGCCTGCTAAAGTTGCAGTTTACATAATTTATGTCCAAAATGTCCTCATTTTATCCTTTTAGATAGTTGAATGATATTGTCAGTGTATGAATTCTAGATTTATAGACAAAAACATGTTTCTTATGTCACAGTGACCTTGACCTTTGACCAATTTCTGAGATATTGTGTTCTCAAGAATGAGACATAAGTATGGATTGATGGACAACTCAAAGACACAATAAAAATATATATAATATAGAGGTCCAAGAGCATCTTAAAGTTTATATTTTGTGTACTTAGGTTCCTTTCCTGCAATAATGTTTACATCACACATAGCACCCTTTGCTTCTCCGTCTGCATCCGCCCAAGCTTATAAGTGCCAACAGATTAAGTAGTCTTCATAAGTCACTATTCATTGCTCTCGTCAAGTGTATCCCTTAACGCCCGCAGAGGAAACCAGTGACCAACATGTCCAACCCGCCATCCACATCGCCTCCACGTCCAACATGAGGGGTCCTGAAGTCTTTTTGAATGAAGTGTTGCACAGGACGGGGCGAGAGATTAGTGAAAGAAATATCATTAAGCCTCCACAGTTCACTGGTTCAAAGAAAATGGGGGCATTAAAGACTAGGTTAAGCCTGAAGGAAAGCATTAATCTAATGTTATATAGAAGGGAAAGGATGAGAGAGAGAGGGAGAGAGAATCTGACACGTGTTAACTGGAAAAGCTGCAAATTTAGCATTCCCAATTACAGTCTTACAAAGTCAAAAAGGCATCTAATTTCCGGGTAAGTTGCTGTTAAAGATGACAATTAACTATCTCAGTTTCTAATTAAAAATGCCCTCCGGTCACTGACTGGTTTCTGCAGATGCTCTTTAAAAGTGTCATCTTAGAAGATGAAGAACCTGGGAAAATCTCAATGCTGTTTTAGGATTCTTGTGTATGAGATGTTCCTGCTTTTCTCAGAATTTCACGATATTAAAGTGAATAGCCGCAGGTTTTTTAATGACAAACAAAACACTCAAAGACCTTGGAGAAACTGGGATGAAAATGTTCCACTATTTTCTGACATTAAGAGACCTAGCAATACTCAGATTAATGGATAATGTAAATAGCAGTTAGTTGGAGTGCAAGTAAGTCAGTAAGCATCCTCACACAACGTAGAATGCATACCAAATAACAACAACCTTCATTTTGTGCGTGTGCTGTTAAGGAAGTCACTGACCAAGAAGCTACTTGCAGCTGCACAACTTTAGCATTAAAAGGACCAAACTAAAGTCATAATGAATTGG